ATGGTCCTTGGAAACATCAAAACTTCGTAACCAGGTACTAAACTAGACAAACCTGTTCTGGAGCAGGTAGAGAGTACACCAGTCCTCGGGGTAAGGGGGTTTCCCCACGTAGTTTTGGAGTACCTCCATTAGGTCCAGTACCAGGGGCTGTGGAATGGGGGAATTGGAATGTGATGGAAACGAGAAACGGAGTATATACCCCGAAGTTGTTCTCGACATGTGACTGCTGTGAGAGGAAGAAAGACTTGAAATGGTCGTCTGTCATTAGGGCCAGGAGCATGAGGAAGTTGACCATATTAGGAGACTGGGGGGAGGGGAAATATCGATGAAATGTTGGTTTGCAAGAAGACTCACAGAGAGTCTGTTGTTGCGAGGAATGTCTTTGCAGAGTCTCAAGAGAGGGAGGAGGAGAGGGACAACGTAGAGAATGTCTTCTGATGATCTGTAACAGTGTCAAGGGGAGAAGGTAAGTACGAAAGTTGGAGAGAAACACATTATTATGCAGTGTACTTTTACTGAGTTTTACATTAGTTGCTGGAATCCACAAATCTTAACTCTGCGAAAAACAGCTAGTCAGAATCGTTGTACACCTGAAAATTAGGGAAAAGGAGGACTAGCCTGTGGAGCTGATGGTTGCTGAGAGAGCTAAGCAGCTGCCCAAGACAGTGCACCGCCTCTTGGTTGCCACGGTCATCCTGTTTGTAGGCGGAGCGCTGCATCTGGTGGTTCATGAATGAGATGAGGTGAGCCACGATGGTTGGAACTAGCTGCTTCCTGGCCCCTGGAGAGAGAGAGAGAGATGAATGGAGGGAACATGAACAAAATGACTTAGTATTAGGTTAGTGCTGACAACACATCTGAACTGATGTCATATGTACCTCCATTGTCCAGTAGTTTGACTGAACTCTGCAAAATGGAGGTGACAAACACCAGTTTCTGCTGGGGAATGCTAGGCACGTCCCTGTTCTGTACCGAGTCCAGGAGGTCAGACACAAACACACCTGCAGGGATATGTGACACGGGTTTTTCCGCGGCGGAGTTACCACAAATACGTACACGTAAATGGACCAAAGTGCAGGCGTGACTTCCCACCTTGCTGAGCGGCCCCCCTCCCATGCTCCCCCCCCCCCCACCCTACACCGTTGCCTAGGCCACCCACTAGTGTGGTGTTAGGGCGTGGCATTGAGGACGAGGTCCTGCTGAAACATGCAGCTTGGTGACCGGCTGGACCATATTCCCACACATCCTTTCCGCTCACCGAGAGAAAGTCGGAGACCGAAATGTAAACGGGGACGAAAAAACAGGGGTACCGCACCCTGCTGAATTACATGGCCACAGGCTCCGGAAAAGACGAACAGGCAACACTAAACACGGGAGCTACGCGCGCGGACGACCCTGCACAAGCCAAGAGCCCCGGACCTGTTGCCCGCTGGGTCTCACTTGGGCCCGCAGGGACAGACGACAGACGCGGCTGGTCGTGAAAGCGGGAGCGCAAGAAAGACGTGACCCAGTCGTCACGCGCACTCTTGATGATGCCGACCGGGGTCCCTAGAGGATCAAGCCTAGATCGCAACCTGGGGCTTGGGTGTGGGGCACCCGCCCGAGAAGATAAGCGGTTTTTGCTCCAGGGGTCGCGCCCCACCCAGGCGGAGGGCAGATGGACATGCATACAATACTTTCTCATTGGACATGTTTTGCCTCTGCTATTTCCTGACAAAAACACAAAACGTGGCGAAGAAGTGACATCATCGAGGTCACAAGGCAAAATTCAACGAAACTAATGAAAGGTTGACACACGTACTTGTGGTAGAGGTGACTGGACTGGACTATGAACTTGAAGAGGTATGGCATTGACTGTGGAAGAGGGATGGAGAGAGATGGAGAGAGATGGAGAGAAAAGATAGAGATGGAGCCAGTTTCCACTGTCTGTACAGCCTGGTATACCTGAAGAATTTTGATAAGTTTCTGATGCTGCAGATCAGCATACATCAAATCCTTCACATGTCGTTTGAAACTGGCCAGCAGATACCTGTGGAAGATCACATGATGTCACGTGACATCACATGATGTCAGGTGACTAACTTGTGAGCCAGAAGAGCAGAGAAGTGTTTCTCGGGTGTATATATCCACCACTGTGGTGAAATGATGGTACCTGTCATCTGCCATCAGACCAAATATTGACACCTACACAAAATGAAGAATATAGAAAAGAGGACAAAAGGATCTCTTCTGAGAAAAGTTTCAAATTTAAGGTAAAGCCACAGCATCCTAAATTTTCTGTAAGATTCTAGTCATTAGATGAAGGATTCTGTGAGGTTGAACTTTAGATTTAAAAATTTCTGTTTTCCACACGTGAGAAAGATAAAGTTACCAGAGCTTCGAAGACGAGTTCCCCGTACTTCTCATGGTTATCATTCAGAATCTCAAACAGACAGTCCAGCGTGTCCTGAGGGGGCAGAGCATGAGTCTATGTATAGTAACACGATGACATCATTACCTGTAGGAATTTGACGACTTCTTCTCCTCCAACATGCACAAGGTTCTTCAGAACCACTGACAGATCCTGGGACTTCTGTCGCCACTTCAGGAGTAACAGCAGCTCAACTGACAGAGAGAGGGAGAGAGAGAGGAAAAAGTGACTTTCACCCCCCTACACACTACTGACTTCTCTGGGTGAGCTTGGTGGAGCAGGTGAGGGTTGATATGGTAACGGTCTCCTTGACGCTGCGGGCGGCCTGGGCGGGGCTTGACCCTCCCCTCAATGTCTTCCTCCCTCTCATGGTGGCAGACCCTGAGCTCTGTGTCATCTCCTCGCGACTGAGGGGTTTGGCTGGAGTAGGCGGCAGGGTCTGTCCATTTCTTGCCCCCTGTCTACAGGTATCACATGACTCCCAACCCCAGGGAATGATGTAATGATTACCTCATAGACGAGGAGTTCGTGGGTGCCATCACTGATGATGCTTCCATTGTCGTTCATTACTTTCAGGTAGGCAAATGCAAATGATTTTTCAGACTTGTCTTTAGCTGAGGGTGAGTTGATTGACAAGTAAATAAGATGGTGTGCATGAAAAGAAGTAGAGTGGCACAGGGAGATAGACAGAAAAGAAACAGATTATGAGCGAGATAGGGGGTCAGAATTTGTAATCAGAATACGAGACAGTGAGTGACCCAACGTACACTCATCCTTGGCCAAATGTCTTAAGACTATTCGCAGGTGGGCGTCTGGAACCTTCTCAAACGGTATCACCAGCTGATGGAGGGGGAGGAGGGAAGGGGTTAATGTTGATGGTTGCCGTGGCAACAACAAACATACCTTGAAAGTCTCCTTCCACCTGGGGTTGTTGTTATGGTAGAAGATGTAGGAGATATACTCGTGAGACGGAGTCGCTGCGGCACCTGACACTATCGCTCTCTGAGTGAGGAGAAAAGAAAGTGAAAATCGATTGACTAGAACTTTCGTACTTTAAGCCAGTACACAAGGGGAAGGGAGAGAGAGAGAGAGATGTTCTCACAGGAATGACGGTGCCGCTCTTGTCCACCACGTTGACTGCCACCTCCACATTCCTCTCAGCTGTCTTGGTGCCCTTGCTGAAGGACCCTCCCTCCAGAGTCACATAGATATCGTTCCTGGCATCTCCTGTACACATACATACACACAATACTCTCATGACAACTCAACTACACATCAATGCTATGTGTATAATTATGTATAATATCTGTATACAAATAGTTTTTACATCTCTACTGTAGGTTTTCTCGACAAAGTATTGAACACATAGCCCATGAAGTTTTAAAAAGTTTGTGTACACAGTTTTCATCCCCTCCCTTCATACTGTACGTAGCTCTGTACAAACCTGGTAAAATGACATCAGGGAAGCCAAGTTTGTGGACCATCTCCGTTGCCTTGGTGAACAGCATCGGGATTTCCATCCTCACGACTGACAGCTGCTTACGATGGAATGCTCTGTGGAATTTAACCCCTTTCTCAATCTCTCTCCCTCTCTAGTTAGCGTACCTGAGAGATAGTGCAATGGCACATCCTGGTTTCTGGCCTCCTTTGGCGCCCGTCTTTTGTATCACATTCAAATGAAAGGTCGCAAAGTTGCTCTCATGGTTCGTCCCACTGTATCAAACACAGTGTCCCATTAACCGATTGGACAGTCCCATCGGTGGATGGGACAGGCTCACCAGAGGTAGAGGGGCATGGTGATAGTCTTGATATGTTCAGCGGTTTCGCTGGACTCTTGTTCCTGCAGTACAGTCCTCACGTCCAGAACTGCAACACATTCAAATTTCATGGATAACAATATCATGTGACCCAATCCCTGCTGGAAGAATGATCGAATTTTCAGACACATCTGCAAACAAGAATTCGCGCCCCAAAATTTTTTTTACTGATCAAAACTGTAGGTTTCCAGTAAAATTTTAAATGCAGAGATATTATCAGCCCATCCTGTAAACGCACCCAAACCAACTGCTAGGGCTGAATATCCAAACCAAGCAAGGCTCTAACACAAGTGGTAATGAAGTGGGGTGTACTGACCTCCCACTGCATAGGGTCTTCTGAATGAGTGCTGAGAATGATATTTTTTGTCTTGTAGCATCTTCCCTGTAACATTACATCATAACACAATAGTCACAGAGAGAGGAGAGAGAGGGGTATGTACCATTTCTGACAATTTGGCAGACGAGGTATATGTCAGTCTCAATATCTTTGCTCCCCAGATCCTGGAGGGCAGTTTACTGACAGATCACTAGAGTTTACTGAAAACACACTGAGGTATACTAGCAGATTACTAGAGTTTACTGAAAACACACTGAGGTATACTGACAGATGACTAGGTCAAACACTGAGGCGGAGGTAAACACACGCTAAAATCTTGCAAACTCAGAAGACAAACATCTACACACACACCACACTAACATGTCGTGGAGACAAACTTACAGTAAACACACAAGATTTCCTCTCTCCAATGCTTTTTGGTTGTCTGTAACTGCCCTTTGCCATAGTAATGAGGTACCTTTCACTCAGTTGGTCTTTTCCTCCAACTGTACAGATAATTAGCTGGTGTTCTAATTAAGAGAAAGAAATATCGCACGGACTGGAGAGGAAGAAGAATATCTCCGAGTTCTCAGTGAAGGGGTGATCCACAGAGTCAATCCTCATGAACAGGTGGTGGAGATGTCCGTGTGGCTGGGCCTTCCGCTGTCGTCGTAGTGTCCCGGGGGTGTGGTCTGACGTCGAGTCGGCACGGCGATCACGATGCTGGAAGTATACAGGAAGTACGTAACCCTGATCTTAAAACTTCGAAAAGCAGAAATTATACCTCTCAGAAATACAGTATCTCTGGTTACATGGAATGGACACTGATGATAATGACTGACATGGAATGTGGACCAGGTGGTATGGAATGGGGACGTACCAGTCTCCACAGTTCCAGTATGCTGGTATTCTGTGAGTCGACGGCAGCTCCCGTGGCCGGATCTCGAGGGGTCAAAGGGCAGCCAGAGAGTCTGTTTATCTCGTCAATGGTTGCCGACAGTTTCACCTTCGTTTCCTGGAGGGCTTCCTAATACAGCAGAGGAGAACAAAACTCCAATTATAGTACAATATCTCCTTGGTGATTGACATGGTTTCTGGCTATATTTATGAAACAGCATACATGTACCTACTGAGTCGTAGATAATTATTGCTTTATTGACAGATTACGAGTCAGCTACTGAACCACTAGGGTTTCCACCTAGACATTCCTTGTGTTGGGCCAATTTTATGCAAGCCATTGAAGTTACTCACCAGAGTTGTATTACTGCTGACTAATGTTCTTCTCCAGTTGACAACCTCCTCCATCGCATGGTACAATGGCCGCCATCTCTCCCTTGACCCACGCTGTACAAGAACCAGTATTATCTCAGTAATCTTTACACTCTGGCTAGTGTTCTCTCAGTAATCTCAGTAAACCTATGCCCACTTTCTCAGTAATCTAGCTAGCTAGTAATCTCTGACACTTTCTCGGTAATCTTCAAACACTACTAGTAATCTCTCAGTAATCTGACCACATATAGTTCCCTCAGTTTCCAACGCCACTCTCTCAGTCCCTGAGTTGCCTCCACCAAAAGCTCGTCCCCAGCGGGAACCACTATCCTCTCTGATCTATAAACACACACAAACACACCAAGAGAGAGACATTGACACTGTACATATTATTTGCCGAAAGAAATGGCTGAAAGTAAGAGTCAGAGCCAAAGAGCATCCATTACCTCAGACTACAGCCAATGTATTGAGAGCACCCCCCACATGCTCTTTAACCCCTCGTAAACACCCATTGTGTATTCCCCCTCTTAGTGTTCTCTTGGCTATTTGCCGTACACAAAGGTACATGAGAAAAAGAATCTAGCACTGAACTACGAATAAAGGCCCACTCTTCTGTTAGTGTATGCATGTAAATGTGATTGGAGAAGTTGTTCTTGGTATAGAGCTAGGTCAGGGGCTTGTGACTGAAAGTGAATGTTTGGCCAAAATCTGGTTTGTTTTGCCTACATCTCCGTAGCAGCAACTATACTTCAGATTAAGAGTGTGAGAAGGGAGAGAGGGGAGAGAAGGGTAGCTCACCCAATGTTTCTGCTGGTACTCTCCTTGATACTGATATAGGAGGCAGGGAAGATGCCCTGTGCGATGAGAGATGACACTATAGCTACTCATGTTGGGGGCCCCCCAGGTGTTTGTTTAGCATTTTCAGAGCTGACCATGTTAGGTCGTAGACACATCAGCTTTATGAGGTGTACTCACAATGCTGACATTAGGGCCTCATACGTACACATTTATATTGTCTCCATGTTGATATAATACATTCATGTTGATTTAACGTTTTCCACAGACAATGTGCTTACTCGTTTAGATGGTTCATAGAATATGTATCCTCTGCACCATTCTGTGTAGGAGAGGAAACCAGTAATCTCTACCTAATTTCTAGTAATCTCCAGTATTCTAGCTAACCTCCAGAGTCCAGCTCCTCTTGAACATACAGTAGATCTCCGATATGAACCGTCAGCTGGTGAACTCCATTGGCTTTAAAATTGTGGAGAGCCACGGCAATCTTATCTGCCGGTCTCCAGCCCATTATCCAGCAATCTGATTGGTCAGACCTGAGAATGGAACCGACATTGTCAGAGTGTTATCGTCTGACACTTGCACTGATTCAAACGAGCATACAAATTCCAATGTATTCAGAAAAATGTCCTACAAGATCATTATGCTGTCAACACTACAATGCATAGTCTCTCACACAATGTAACTACAAGAAAGTAAAACAAGTGTTTTGCCTCCAATCCACCAGATTTGGGAGGCAGTTCTTGATACACAACACGCAGCGATAGCTGACGCTAACCGGTAGGTCAATATTCATTTGAGAGTTGCAGGAAGGAACTGAAACAGCAAAACACGACCGACCGCACGCACGCACGCACGCAGACACGCACGTGGGGTCGGTCTTGGCTTGCCTCTTTTCCAAAGAGATGACCACAGAAGAGCAAAAGGGAGTGCTAAGTAAGGTAAACCTAGTTTGCTTTCTCACTCCTCGCGAGAAAAGGCTCGCTGCTGTCAGGTCACGTCTAGCACCGAGAAAGCAACGTTTCTAAAACACTGACTCACCAGCGCAGGTCCCAATCTCTTCCTTCCTTATCAGAAATCAGCTTTCCACTTCGCTTGTCGGCTCTGCACTATGGTTCTGCTGCTCTGCGCAGGGATCGATCGCTCCACCGTCGTGGTGGGCGGAGCTTCGCTTGTGACGTCATTTGTTGATAGGCCTATTTGACGCGCACCAACGATGATCAAGTTGGTTTTTCTTGTGTTCCTGGCTCTCTCGCTCAGTGAAGGGGACAGTGAGGGCGCATCAGCCGATAGGTAAGTTAAGTTTCTCTTGTCTGCTGTAATAATCCTCCCTCCGACCCCTGGCAAAAGGCTGCAGGAATTGGCTGAGGAGCTGTCAGGACTAGTGTGGCAGAAATGGAGCAACTTCTCTCTTTCAATCTACCTCGAGGCCCAGCAGGTGGGTGTGGGTCTTGGGTGTGGCTGGATCACGTGATCAATACGTCACAGAATTTGAGCAGCGAAGCAGTTGAGGAAGTGAATGGTTCAGTCATTGCGGAAGAGGTCGCTACCAATCTTTCAGACTCTCTCTCCCGCTTTAGACACTTTCTCAATGTAAAGTTTTAGCCACACCCACTGACCACGCCCCTCACCTCTCACTATGACCGCAGGAGACAGCATCATTTGCAGAGAGTCTGTATTCCAATCACAGGAACCAAAACTGCTGTTCTAGTGTCTGTCAGTATGGCACGGAGTACAGCCAAGATCTCTGTTCCATGGCGTGCAACAGGTCCAGTATCAGATACACTAGTAGTGGGCGTGGTTTCGGGATTGGAATGGAGACAGGGTGGAATGGAACGCGGCAGTGTGTCATGGGGTCATGGGGTCACCAGACCTGCACTCCTCCGGGCGATGAGGAGGAAGCTGCAGTCCATATACCTAGAGATGTACATGAGGAAGGTACATGTACATAACATGCTCCGGAATTATTGGCAATTTGGCCTGTATTTGGGGAGCACACTTTAAACGTAATTCGCTGCCACATCTTGCATGAAGCTGGACTAAACTTTTTTCAAACTACTGTGCTCCATTTACCATTGCTTTTTACTCTCTTACCATAATATAACTAGACTTGGAATTCAGCCTACATTTGGGAAGCGTAAACTTTACTGCAGTAGTGCATTGTGTGAAGCTGGCCCAAAAGCAGCTGAAATCGTGACTCGACCACCAATTTTAGTGACTGCCCAAATTTCTCATTTCCTCTCAGATCCAGATGTGCTGTGTTTTGTTCAGTGGACGGAGGAATTGAGTCGTCATTTCACCTCCACTCACTCCTTCTTACCGTACTCTGACCTCACTCAGTACATCGGGACCGACTCCCGTCTCTTGAGATTCTACCCTCGTAAGAAACCACACCCACTAATCACTGAGTATGCTAGTATGTACTTGATGGACATGGTATATACATAGCAGCCCCGTATACATAGACATTTAGACCCGGTTTCCCAAAGTGCTTTATAAACCATTCACACACAAACTGAAGTGGTTTTTATACAGTTTGTATAATATGTGTCCGTGGAATGTGGGGCTATACATCATTCTCTCTCGCCAGCATTTGATTGGTCGGCGCTCAGTCAGTGCAACAGATGCCCGTTGTCTCTTCAAGACACTTTTGAACTCGGTCGTCGTCCCTGGTGAGTTGCCATGGTGATATTTGAGTTATCGCCACGGAAACATTATGTTGATAGGTACACAAACACTGTCACTGGAGACAAGTTCATTGTCGTTCTGCTGGATGTGTGAGTTTTGTGTGGTAACCATAGTAACAGGTGGTCATGTGACCTATGACATCTTCAGGAGTGGGAGTATGGCGGGGTTCCAGTCCCTGCTGGCAAAAACCACCATCTCACAGCTGCTCCGGGCACTCACCTCCAACGACTACTTTCTCATCATTCAGGTTTTACTGAGATTACATCGTACCTTACCATGATGACATCATATCCAGGTCGGAGAGGGGGAGAGGACCAAGAATGTTGGATGTTTCTCTGAAAAGACGAGAGCCACTCCAGAGAATGTTCTGGTATGTAGTACTGGTACATCTCTAACATTTGGCCAATCTTGTCCTGCAGGTCGCGAGTCAGGACATCATGTTGCTCCCGGATACCAACAATGTAGGACGAGCTCACTTCTCACAGCCGCTACAGGACTACCTCCGGTTGCTAGGCAACTCTACGGAATGTCACCGGGTGCTAATCGTATTTTCAGACGGTGAAAAAGAAACACCCCTGCCAGTTGACCTCGTTAGGGCGAACAACAAAGACCTGGAGGTGGGTGTGGCCTAGTTTGGTAGACCACACCCACTGCATTCCACACTTGTTGGCTGCAGGTTCAGATATTCTCATTTCTAGTTGGAGGTGGACCTGATGACGCCAACATGAAGATTGTGTCCTGCCAGAACAGAGGTTCTGCATCCTTTCCCCATCTTGCCTGTCCACTTACATTCGTTAGCTTTTTCAATTTCTCTGATCCCCTAACATGCATGAGGGCAATATTTTAGTGCCACCATAGGCCTACTAATTGAAGAGAATACATAAGGCAGAGCTCTTTTAGCCAAGATAGTTTCCAAGAGCATTCGTTAACTTTTCTCTCCTAACATAAAGTACGAAAGGACCCTCGGCGCGCATGCGCAGCGAGGGTTACAGTACTTGGTCTGTCTGATCTGTCCGTCCGTCCACGTTTTCTGCCACCACGCGCGACAAACAGGTAAAATTAGCGACAACAACCGGTTCAGCGCGCTACACCCGCTTCATTTTTAAATGGCAAATTTTTTGTAAAAGTGCCGCGTTCAGAAGTTATGGCATGAAAACCAAGTGAATGAAAAGCACTGAAGTGCAAACCCTCGGCGAACTGCGCATAGGCGGTACTGCGGACCCGCAGTCTCCCGCTAGTAGCTCACGGAGAGTCTGTCACGGGCTAGCTACGGTAGTAGATAGCATGCGGGAGTCGATACACGCCCTTCGCTGTGGTTTCTTGTGCCTCCAAGGCACACAGAGCAAGCGGATCAGGTCGGGGCGAGCCTAGCCAGTTGATCGCGTCTAATATACGCATGCGCACCGCTTATTGATGGATTGGGCCACGGAACACGGTCCGCGACGGTGCCAGTTTGTCGCTCTCGAACGCAGTCGTTTCAGGAAAAACCGTTCGATTAAACTGATTCTTATTACCCGTTTATTACGTCGTATCGTTTGTGGGACGAATAAACCATCGAGAAGTGAGTTGGAGCATGGACAGACAAACAAACAATCCCAACCCTCGCTGCGCATGCGCGCCGAGGGTTAACAAGCCAATATGCAAAATTAGCACAGGCTTACCTACCTAGTACCTCCGTGTATATATACCTTGGAGACACAAGAAGTCACAACGAAGGGCGTGTATCGGCTATCGCGTGCTATCTACAACTGTAGCTAGCCCGTGTCAGACTCTCTGCGAGCTACTTCGCCGAGGGTTTGCACTTTAGTGCTTTTCATTTACGCTGTTCCCATTCAAGTAATGGTGGTGGTCTGATGGATAAGCACCCCCTCTCTTGAACGTGAGGTCCCTGGTTCGATCCCGGGTGTGTACGCCTTTTTTACAATGATGTCATAGGAGTGTTGGTATATATGGAACGTTTTTTCATCACATCTCAAGGCCAGCCCGAGTGGCTAGGTGGTTAGAGTCGTGGGGACTGACACCATAGGTGCCCGGTTCGTATCCCGATCCCGCACTAAAATGTCAGATGGTCCAGAGTATTGGCTGGGAACAGCTCTGGTACCTCCCCTTACCCACAAATCTACCACTGACCCATGTTTCTCAAAGGGCAGCGTACAGTTCGGCATAGCACTGCGTCCGTAGACGTCTGTCTGGAGAGATGAAGGGCTGGCCGTTTATAAAAAAAATTTTATACCTTTTTTTTTTTGCACTAAACAATCCACGGGTAATACGAAAAGTAATAGAGAGATGAAAGGTTGGCAATTTTTCATCCTTTTATATTTTTTGGGCCTCAAAACAGAAATACGACTGGCCATTTTTTTTCACCTATTGATAATGAACATGCTGTTCTTTTTGATGCATGGTCAAGACAATTGTGGTGGTGCCACACTTGTGTATGGGTTCCACATTTCTATAGAGTGTGCCGAGGGTTTGCACTTTAGTGCTTTTCATTTTACTTCTGCAACACACTCACCGCGATCCCCTTCATCCACAGGTCGTATGGGGAAGATTAGAGAATACTTCGATATCATTCCTGCGGTCCTGGTAGGTCACATGATATCATGTGATCTTCACATGACATCATATCATCTTCCCAAAGCTGATCACTGACTCGCTAGCACTCCCAACCTCTCGTCACATTCACTACACTCTGTATAGAGGCATCAGTGTGAGTAACACATCACTCTCAAGAGGTCACATCACTCTCACAATGTTTGAACTTTGAACCCAGGGGAGTTATGAACTAGCCATGGGACTTCCGCTGTGGAAATCGTCAACAAATGTAAAAAAACTATTGTTTGAAAATCGTGAAATAAAATTTTGGGTTTAGGAGACATTTGGTATTGTTGGTTTTGACATACCTTATCAGCAACTTTTGACGGACGCACTTCAGAAGTATAGAGTGAGGCTCCACCCATTATCTAATTTAAAATGTTTTTCGTTTGCCGTGGGTACAGATCGGAGCCTCAGGGTATGCATTCGTAGTTGACAACAATGGAGAGTTGGTCAGTCACCCCGCCATATCTGAGCAGTTCGTACAGGTTTGGATGAGCAGTAATAGTAACTAGTGAAACACTGTCTGTTTACCTCAGTACACTACAAGTCTTTATCACATGTTTGTCTGTTACTCTGGTTACAGAGTCTGTCAGATGACAGTCTTCTCAGTCTGGACATGGACTACTTCGAATTCCCCTTAAGCTCCACCCAGTGGGCGGAGCTAAGAGAGACAATATTGACTGGTGGGCATGGCCAGAGCTCCATAGCAACCTGGGCCTTAGTGGAAAGACGGGAGGTGTGGTTTATATCGTAGTGGGTGTGGCTTATCATCTCTCTTTCTCCGGCAGGTGAAGTATGTTTTGAGGAACACAACTTACTCCTTCGCTCCTATCAGTGACACTCCTTTTATGGTAGTAGTGGTGACCCCAACTGACCTTTGGGTCAGCGATAGTGAGCCCCAGATGTCAGAGGTCATATTCTCGCCACTTGGTGGGCGTGGTCAGTGTGAGAGTGGGCGGAGTCACCAGTGTCAAGGACTACAGAGTGTTGAGGGAAAGGCGCGTTCTTCACTCAGTCATCTCACTGTTCTTCTCTCTGGTATGGACTCTTTTTGAACACTTTTTTTTTCTGTTTCACAAAGAGACTCTTAATAACATCTTCAAATCTAAAGTTTTGCTTGGGAATTTTTTCAAGTATATACACCAGACAGCGAGCTCTCATTATGTCACACACTCCCCATTTGCAGGTAGCATTTGTGGCAATGACTCGTCAGTTGTACTACTGAGGTCACTAGATGTAGAAGGACACCCAGTGGGCGTGGTCAGCAACACCCTCTTCCCTGAGGAAATGGAGGAGCTCCTAATGAAAGTGGCAGATTTGGAGGATGAAGAGATTTTCCTTCTGGATGAGAGTGCAAACATCATTGCGTCTTATCCCTACCACCAGGTATTGAAATAATGACATCGTTGGTGATATAATATCATGATTACATCACCAGAGAGGATGGTTCCCAGCAATGTACCCAGAGGGAGTGTTGGAAAGGAGTTACGAAATTGGGAGAATGTTAGGTTTTGAGCCACGGACGAGAGAGGGAGGGAGAAGTGGGCTTTGTGAGAGTGGGGAGGAGTGGGAGTGGGGTTGTGAGGACAGTGGGTGTGACGCCGTGAAGCTGTTTATGAGAGAGATAAAGGTATTTCAACTGAGAGGTGAGGAGGAAGGACACCATGGAAACGTCAGTTGTTCTGACGGAAATTTGTATGTAACACAATACTTAGCTTCATTACGACACAATCATTACTGGTAATTCCTCAGGGACTACGTCATTATAAGGGTCCCCAACACTTCCCTCACGATCGTGACCCTCTCAGGATCCTGTCTCCGTGGCAACAACACCGGTTGCTACGAGGATCCAATCAGATATAGTTGTCTGCCGTGTCAGTGCAGGTCGTCGTTGTTGGAGGAGAGGTTTAGAGCTGCTCGAACTGACAGCTACACGTCGTCTTGTCCCACTGTGAGTCAGTTAATGAGCGAATTCACACATGCCTATAATCACTCGTGCTCTACAATGGTCACGATGACCTAGGGGATTTTCCATCTTGTTTCACAGATGACATCATTCTGCTCGGCAGGACAAAGACCACACCCCTCATTGCCAATCTCCATAGCAACAAGCATCTTCATCTCGGCTCTAATATTCACATGGTTCTCAACATCATTAAAAATTTTTACCGCTTAATTTTCTATTCACATTTTAATATTACAGAGAGAAAATGCGCACACAATAAGGTGGTGCCATGGACAACTGTGGTAGCCTTGGCATGGACCACTGCGGTAGGTAGTGCCTATGAACGTGGTCTCTCCTTCTTGCCAGTGTAGAGTGCCCACAGTGACACGTTTGCCACTTTCACCACCTTGAACCGCACACCTGGAGACAAGAGAGTGTAAAGTAGAGGTCAGGAAGAAGTTTTGTGAGCTAAGGAAACATACCAGGAATATCTCCCACGGCGTGGCCTTTCCTACCAAACCCAGCAATCAGGACTTCATCATTCTCCTCTACATAGTTCAGACAGCCGTCGTTGGGAACAAAAGCTGTGATCTTCTTCCCGTTCTTGATCAGCTGGACTCTGATGCACTTCCGGATGGCTGAGTTGGGCTGCTTAGCTTCCACACCACTAAACACAAACACCACACAATACACTCAGCACCGTTTCCAGTGAAAGCCAAACTAACACTTTTTCCAGCACAATTCCCTTTGCGTGACTAGCTCCTCCGAAAGGGTTGGCCTTCAGAGCGGTGCCGAGATGAGCCTTCTTGTAGCTCTTGTCGTGCCAGCGCTGGTCTCTTCTGTGGACACGCAGCTTTCTGGCCGTCCGCAGCCCTCGAGGCTTTCCTGTAACAGACACACGTTAGTGTAGACCGAAAAATAAGCGTACGTAGAAATAATACAAAACCTTCTTAAATCTCGGGACTAAGTACAAGAGAGGATCCTCAAGGGTTAGTTTAGTGCTCTCACCCATGTTGAAGTTTCCACTCTCTTTGCCAAAGGGACAAAACGCTGCGCATGCGCCGGCGTATGCGCCACGCGTGGCAGATATTCTAAATATAGCCCACCAAAATGTCGCGCATGAAGATAAAGGTGTTGTGTCGGGATCCTCGGGACTACACTCGCCAGAGGTCGTCAGACATTCACAAGCTGCCGAGGAACCTGGATCCGTCTCTCCACCCGCTCGAGGGACCTCGCGAGTACGTGAGAGCGTTGAATGCCGCCAAACTAGACCGCGTGTTCGCCAAACCGTTCCTCTGCAACCTCGCCGGCCACACGGACGGCGTCTACACAATCCGCAAACATCCAAACCTCCTTTCAGTCGTTCTGTCGGGATCCTGCGACGGGCAAGTCAAGATATGGAACCTCGCGAACCAACAGTGCCTGAGAAGTGTTCCCGCACACGAGGGCTTCGTGCGAGGGCTAAGCATGACTCGCGAGGGAAACAGTTTCCTAACAGTAGGCGAGGACAAAGTCATAAAGCAGTGGCCATTCCCGGAGGAGGACGAGGGGGAGTTAGAGCCTGTGAACACAATTCTGGGAAAGTCTGTGTTCCAAGGTGTTGATTGTCACTGGAATGAAGACAAGTTCGCAACATGCGGAGAGAAAGTCGATATATGGGATGAGGCAAGATCCGAGCCAATTCGTTCATTTACATGGGGTCCAGACAGCATCACCAGCATCAGGTTCAACCCAATTGAATTTAACCTATTAGCCACTGTCGGCTCCGATAGAGCAGTGGCACTGTATGACATACGCCAGCCAGTCCCTCTTCGCAAAGTGGTTTTGTCGATGCGGAGTAATGCTGTGGCCTGGAACCCAATGGAGCCCCTCAATTTCACAGTCGCTAACGAGGACAGTAACCTGTACTCATTCGACATGCGGAGACTAGACAAGAGCAGAATTGTGCACAAAGACCATGTAATGGCAGTCATGGATGTAGACTACTCACCGACTGGAACTGAGTTCGTGTCTGGAAGTTTCGACAAGACTCTGCGGATATTTGGGGTTGAAGCAGGGCACAGTCGAGAGATTTACCACACAAAACGAATGCAGAGGGTTTTCTGTGTCGCATGGAGCTCAGATGCTTCTTACATATTGTCGGGATCAGACGAAACAAACATACGACTGTGGAAAGCTTCAGCATCTGAAAAGATTGGGAAGGTACACCTGCGAGAGAAGGCTGCACTGGACTATGCCAGTAGTCTGAGGGAAAAGTTCAAACATCATCCGCAGGTGAGACGGATAGCGAGACATCGCCATGTCCCCAAACTAGTGTTCAAGCAGGCCAGAGAGAAAAGAATTATTATGGCATCGCGTCGCCGAAAAGCCAGAAATGTTGCTCTACACAGTAAACCTGGGACAACCGTACAGCCCAAAGAAAAGACTAAGAACATCGTAGAAGTTGCGTGAATTTCCTATTTTGTTGCGCATGCGCTGTTTGACACGCGGTGACCTATGAACTCTACGTGTCTTGGTGGGCGTTATTTGGAGAGAAAAAGGGAAGCGACTGGCGTTTTCTTTTTCCCTGCTTTTCGGAGATGTTGTGACGACGAGAGAGGGATTGATGGCCGTAGTAATGGGAGAGAGGCTGCTGGTGCTTGTGTTTGTTACGTCACTACTCGTCTGGGCACCGGCCAGCGGTGAGGGTGCGTCTGATGAAGAAGCACCAGGGACGGTTGCCCATGTACAAGAAACTGTTGAGAAGAGAGAGGTTCTGGTAGAGTCTAAGGCTGAAGAGGAGACGGAACAATTGCCTACCGCTAGTAGCGAACAAACTGAAAACAGTAATCATGAAGAGATAACGAAGGGCGAGGGAGAGGTAACAGAAGAGCATGATGTTGTCATGTCAACGCACCATCCTGGTGATTTAGAGCCTCTGATTGAGCCTCCTTTGGCCACACCTCCTGGTGATGAGACCACACCTACTAATCTAGAGGTCACACCCACTGTTCCAGAGACGGATGCAGAATTGGAGCAACCAATTGAGATTGTCAGTTCCGAGACTGAGGCCACGCCCACTGGGGAGGGGGGTGAAGAGAGGGAGGGAGGTGGGGAGGAGGGAGACGATGTCCCGACATTCACAGAGTTCTCTCAGAGGAAGAGGATGGAGCAGAACTCAACTCAGAGACTGACTAATGGTGGGTTGTGGCCTGTTGTCCCCGTGTCACTGGAATGTAATAACTAGGACAACACTGTTACTTAGAGTTCTCCGCATAAACTTTTGGGCTGGTCCAATACGCCATTAGTCCAGCACATTTTATTGTGTGTTCTGTCTCACCGCCATTCTGTGTGTGTGTGTGTAATTATAGAGAAGCTGACACTGACAAATGGAGGTCAGCACAACTATGCCTCCATTGACTGCGGGGCTAAGATCATTGCCTCTAATAAAGAGACTCAGGTGATTATAGCCAACGATGATGTAATAATGATGTAATCACAAACACACTTCCTCTCACAGAATCCATCCGCAATTCTCAGTGAAAATAGAGATCACTACATGATTAACCCCTGCTCTGCTGATATCTGGTGAGAAAAGGGTTAATAATGAGCGAGAGCTGAGAGAGTTAATTAAACCCACTCCAGGTTTGTGGTGGAACTGTGTGAACTGGTGGAGTTGCACAGTCTCCAGATTGCCTGTTTTGAGCTCTTCAGTTCCATTCCCGAGAACTTCAACATCTCTGTCTCTGAGAGGTTGGTACTTATCTACGAACATTGACTGTAAAAGAAACCATGTCTTATAATGGTATAGATGTCTATGGCAGTATGTCATTGTTGTAATTCTGGTGGGGACAGGTATCCAGTGGACGAGTGGCGTTTCCTGGGAATGCTGCATGCGTCCAACGAGAGAGAGGTCCAGACTTTCCTCCTGTCGCCAGATGAGTCCAGCTACGCCAAGTTCCTCCGAGTCGACATGGTGTCCCACTACGGCAGCGAGCACTTCTGCCCTCTCAGTCTCCTCAGGGTCAACGGATCTTCCATGATGGAGGTATCGGCATTGCATCGTGATGTAATTTTTAATGATGTCATTGTGATGTAATAGGTGTACGAGTATTCTGAGAGTCAGCAGGAAGGTTCTGTGGAATCGCTGTCTCCCACTGTAGCCCCCTACGAGGGAGACAGGGAAGAAGGTGAGAGTTAATGTGTAATGTCGAAGAGGTCCATAGGGACCTTGCAACTATTTCGTCATTTTTCGATTTCCATTCTGGTGGAAAACTATGCATCGTTGCAAGTTGCAAATCATACATACGCTGGTCGAAGTAACCAAACGTTACATACAGTACACCAGTGGCGAAATGCAAGTTTTTCCAACACGCACCTTGAGAAGTGTATGCATGTGGAAGGAACATGTGGAGGCATTGAGAAAGACGTGGCGGTGAGGGCGGGAGGGAGAAAAGACAAGGATTTGGCTGAGACTCAAGACTGCTGGAGCCATTTGTTTGTGGCTGCATTAGCTGAAGAGAGAGTGTCGCGACAACAATAGTTGGCATGGCAGCTGGCGTTCACATCTGAGGCAGCTGTTTGAGTCGGGATCCCGCCATCCACTGACCGCAGTCCTAAACCACTTGACTCACCCTCTTGGCCACATTAGTGGATGTCAACAAAGAGCAGCCTTGGTTCTGGGCTGGGCCTGCTGGCATCTTCCTCTTGCATTCCTTCCTCTACCTTAGTTAGGTCACCACCTGCCGTGCTGGCTTCGCTCAAAGTCGCCCGGCGCAAATCAATCCGTTCTGACGCTCAGGTGTGAAGGTGTGCATGCTAATTGACAGAGGAGGCTGAAGCAGATCAAAGCATCCGCAGGATTCCAGGCATTCCTTTGACCAGACAATGGTCCCTTCGTGCAGTGATTTGGGGTCCAGCTGCTCTTGGGGCTCCTCTGCAAGGACGTGTGTGTTTGTTAGTTTGTGGGCCTCTGTATGTCCCCAGTTAGCTCTCTGTTGCTGGTCCGTGATTGCCGCAAAGCTATCCGATTACAGCGACCCTCTAGGCAGAGGCTGCTTGGGTTACAGGCTCAAGTGCATGGCTCCAGACGATAGGAATGGATGTTTTATGAGTTTAGGTGTGAAGATTGCATGCTTTGAAGCTCAATTTGCTGCTGTTCTGCCATGATAAACTTCAAAAGTAACTGCATCATGCATCAGAAGTGGCAGTTCTTTACTGTGTGTGCAGCTGGTAGGTTGCTGCCTGTACAGCTGGGGCCCAAGGCAGGCAGCTGTAGGCTAAGACTCAGGGGAGTAAGGCAGCTGTAGGTTAGGACTGGCAGCTAGGACTGGCAGCTAGGACTGTTTACTTCCCAGCAGCAGGCAGCTGTAGGTTCATCCCTCTCAGCAGCTGGGTATAGCATGTATATACAGTGGTTGTTTGTACAGCTGGCTGTTGGGGACACCCATTAATAGTAAGAACTTGCCTCAGGGGGGGGACAGACTGATAGTCTCCTAGCTACCACACTGCTGTAATACACATACACTTTATCTCTTCATTGTTCCAGATGACTTGTTTGGGGGAATTCTTGAGGAGAATGTTTCCCAGCAACTGGAGGCTGGGATCCAAGGTAATGCACCTTGTAGTTTTCAGTTTCTTTGTTCTTTATCTTGTCCATTCTCTGGAAACCCATTGTTTTTTGTGTTATACTGTGTTGAAGATGCCATTCCCACCCACCAACTGTTGTCTTGATTATTGTGCATTCCTTTGCCTGACCACTGAAATAAACTCTGGCATATGAGCACCTGATGGTGGGGAGAGGGAGGGGAGGTGTCGAATGTTGCGCCTGTGTGCAAGCAAATCAGCCACAAATCTCTCAATATCTCTCTGTCTGTCTGTCTGTGCAGGTGGCATGGAATGTGATATGGTCCAAATTGTTGTTAAATCCCCCCCTTTCTTTGTATGTAGGTGTGGGTGCGGGTCTGAAAGAACTGCTGGCTGGGGCTGTACGTGGTTTCATTGAAACAGTGGGTGACTACATGAGACCAGCGGAGGATAAGGATTCTCATACCCCACCCGAAATTGTGACCCCGGGGTACCTCACCCCTGAATCCGATGTGGAGTAAGTTTTAGTCTGGACCCCAAACTAAAAGGGGCCCATTAATGTTCACAAACTTGTGTCAGAGCCACATCCTTTCACTACTGTTTGGCATGCATGCAAGGTAGGTATCACCAAGGTTGCTCAATCCATTGTGATGTTTATACCAGGTTCATATACACCTGCATTACAAATCTGAGATATTGCTGCAGCCATGAGTAAGTCCCAATTACCAGTAATAGCAATACTTACACATCAATTCATTGAGAGACAAGTGATTACAGACAATGGAGACAATGTGACACATTTTTCACTAGTGGATCAAGCTAGAATGTTAACTGAGCCAGCCTATGAGGTGCTCTGCCATCCTATCTTCCCTCTCCCCTCTCTCTCTCTCTGATAGATGGACTGGGGAGAGAAGAGTGAGCTGGGAAGGAAGTGCTTTGGATCTGGGGTTAGGGGAAGGCCCTCTAATTACACCCTCATCTCCTGCAGCATTGCTGTAGCTGCAGCTACTGCAGATGGCTGCATCTGTAGGGGAAGTATCAGCGGGTCATGAATATACACAAGCATACCGCATTGCCGCGTGCACCTGCTCTTCAAAACGATATTCACGAGCGAGGCTTTAGCTAGCTGGCTGGCTGGCTGCTGTTGGTAGCAGGTGTTACCACCGGATGCATGCAGATGTATGCCTGTTTACCCAGCCGTGGAGACAAGGCGCACGCTGGCAACTATATTCACGGGCTACTGGGAATATAGCGGAGACGAGCTGACTCGCACCTGGTCCTCTGCCGTTGCCTCTTCTTCCTCCGCTGCAGGGGGCGGTCTCAGAATGTTCTCCAGGTGAGTGATGTAGGCGATGGTCTCTCTAACTAGCTCCAACTGCAGAGAAAGATATATAATTATATATAAAACGGGAATGAGACGTGTGCTCTGCTTTGAATAGATGTATATCTCACCTCAGTGGATTCTGTTTGGTGTCTGGCGTTAGGAAGAAGGCTCTTGAGTATTTGCAGGCACTGAGCAGTGGACTGGGCCTTGGTGTACATCTTGAAGCTTCTGCCCGGAGAGCTGGGTCGGTAGCTTTTACCCACGCCGCCTGAGAGACTCCGCAGGTGAGCTGTGAAATATAAACGTGGAAGTAAGCTCATCCGCTGGGTCACTGAAAGACTCCCTATGCCTGCAGTGCACTAGACTTACTGCTGGAGCTGTACTTGACACTCCTGGAGCTGGAACCGTTTTCGTATGCCGGACAAGCTCGAGTCATTTCTGCTAGCTTTTCAGTGCAACTTTCAACTGCACCAAAGATGTCGAATATTCCTTCCCTCGATCTCTTTACTCAGACTCTTTTATACCCGCACGCAGGGCCGGCGACAGGAAGTCTAGACAACGTATGGGGATTGCCGCGCGCGGGCCCATGAAAGGCAGCCTCTTCCGTTGTGGCTTATGGCAATTTTGCTGTCCCCCAGCAGCCTGTGAATACATTTAGTCCATGTAAACATCTGCCTGGCTAAGCTCTCATAATGGCCCACGTGCTCTAAAATCACAATGCACTCTCCTGAACAAAGTGTATTGCATTGTTGTGGCCTGGACTAACAGTGTCTAGGCTGGTGGCGCCACAGGTCTTACCTGGCACTGGTTGCTTGTGTTTCTGGCGCGGAGGGAAGTTATATCCACCCATTCCTTTGGCAGAAGGGCCCTCCGCTGGACTAATGTACATGACTGGCCATCTTAGGCTCAATTTGCAGCTGCTGAGTTACTTAGGCACCTGTGTACTGCATGTGTATGCACAAAAACATGTTACCCACTCTGTGCTCTGTGTTGTGGGTGTAAGAAGAGCATCTAAATTTCCCATTTGTGTACTTTGGAAAGTAAAAGCGACTTTAGCGGTGTGGTGTGCTGGTACCTGTCACTGCCAACACCACAGCTTTTATTTGGGAGTTGGTTTTAGAAACTGTTGTTTTCATATTTCTCTCTTCACACACACACTCACTCTTTCTCCACACAAGCAGAAGTGAAAGTGTGTCCACTGCCGCTCCTCGCCCAACTTCTTCCCACTCCTCAGTAAGCAATACAAATGTAGACAGGTTGTTTCCTGTGCATTGATCCAGGGCTGCCAGGGTTTAGGCCCCCTCACTTTGCAGCTGTCAAGGATTATTATTATTACAAAGTCAACCAAAACTGTAGTAGTATACCTACCACACCTACCTTTCTCTGCTGTGGGTATATACTCTACCCTGCTTCCTATTCTACGACCCTTTGATATCAGGATTCATTGGGACCAGCTGCCTTACCCTCTAAGCCCTGGCCACCCTTCATTAGCGCTAATGGTCAGCCTCCCCTCAGATGTGGACATCTGCAGGTGTACTCTAGGACAACTGATTAGCTGTAGTTTTCCTAATCCTTTCTTCCTGTTTGTGAGTAGGGAGATAAGGCCTGGATGTTTTTTGCCTGGCTCCAGCAGGTCTGCTCCATTGTAGGTGTCTGGAGTAACCAAATTGCCAGTGTTCCCAGCTGTATATAGTCAGGGTTTTGGCTGGTGAAGATGGTGAGGAGGAGGGAAGGATGAGGGGGAGAGGGGGAGGGTATTCATGACATGTGGCAGAGGGCACTCTCTAGTGGCAATGAGGCATGTATATACCATGAGCCATGAGATATGGGAGGAGGGGGAGAGAATAGTGGCTCTGGATGTGTGTGGTGTGTGTGTCTGTTCAACCCAAGCATATGTCATTGTGTGTGTGGTTCTATAGAGTGACGATGGGTCTATCGCTGAGGAAAAGGTTGCTTTTGGTGATGATGTCATCATTACAATACCAACTGAAACTGATGAAACTTTGAAAGATGTGCCTGAGGATTATCCATCGTTAGAGGGTTTCATGCCGAAAACTCATTCCATTCAATCGTCTGAAACAATAGAACCCATTTTGGAAACCACACCCTCAATTAATGAGGCCCCACCCACTCCAGCTCCAACTAGCAGGTCAACAAGTAGTCAAGACAATGGAAACAAGCAAACAGAGCAAGTCATTGACTCAGTGGTAGCCAGTGGTACCCCTATTGCAGACAATGGTGGTACTTTGGCCCACAATGGTGGAGACACAATGGTGCAAGACCCAGACAATAGTGGTCAGGAATGGCCTGATATTGTGGTGGATAATGGTACAGTGGTTGTCAACAATGGAAGTGCAGTGACCAGGACTAGTACAGTTGTGGATGACCCTGAGGAACATGACAAAGAAAGTGAAAACCAAACTTCTACAGAGGGAGAGAAGCAAGATTACGACTCTACCTTAGTTTCTGGAGAAGAAAACGAAGGGGAGGAGGAGAAGGAAAGTGACAGCATCAATGATGAAACAGAAGTAGTTGCTGATATCGATGGTGCAGATGGCACCTCAAAACCAGTAGTTGGTGGAAGACTGGAGAATGGTGCTATTGGGGAGGAAGGTGGGGAGGTGGGGGAGGGTGAGAAGGGTGCCGAAGGGGGAGAGCTCTCCGACACGGAGACTTCGCAAGAGACTCTGACCAATGGGAACGGAGCTGGGGGGTTGTCAGGACAACCAAAGGAGAAGTCTGTTTTTCTGCGACTCAGCAATCGTATTAGGGATTTGGAGGAGAACATGTCTCTCTTTAGTAGCTACCTGGATGAGATAAGTACTGGGTGAGCTCTCGTCCTCTCTTTCTCTCTATCTTGTTTAGTGTGTTGTGTGAAAAAAAACTGATCATTTTCAAAACCCACCAGCCTTTTTCACACATACGCACACCCATGATGCACTAACATAATTATACACGCACGGTATTTTTGGAATCTTGGTTTGTCTGTCACCTTTTACAACACTAGGATGAAGAGAAACAAGAACAGGACGGAAGATGGACAAAGATCTCTAGAGAGAAGACTTAGTCTCCTCAATGACAGCTTGCAGCTAACCACAAACCAGGTATTGCTATGGCGAAGGCTTCATTCAGTTACGGCTATTACATACTCATCACTGAAGTCGTTACTTTGAGGTTAAATTGCATGACAACTGTTCTGGGGAAAGAAAAGGTGAGAGGTATCCTATTATAATGGGTGTCCTTAGAGTTTTACTGTATGGAGCAGCCGGGCCTCCTATGAGTAAGCTGGCTGGCTGGTATCTCACTCTGTACTAGGGCTCTAGTAGAGCTCTAGTATCTTGTGTGGCAAAGTAGGAGTCAGTGGTTGCGTTTAGATTGGAATGTAGGTCCTCGGTGACAGCTGCATTTCAGCCCAGCTGCAGAGTATCATTTGGAGCATATCTAGTTTCCTGTGGCGTGTCTAGCCCACACATTGGCTGGTAGAGTGGCGGGCTGAATGTCAGAAACTGGCAGGTCATATGTCACTCCAACTCCCCCTCCCTGCCACACAGAGCACTGCTCTTGCCGAGCATGTAAACTACATAGATGTACATTACAGAGATGTCTGTCATTCCTTCAGCATAGGGTTGAGTTACATCTAACACAGCTGTGCTCCTCAACCTGCCTTCTCCTTGTCTTTCCCCCTCTTTCCATAGACAGAGCTGGTGTTGATTTATCTCCATGGTAACTTTGAGGACATCAGGAAAGCTGTTGAAAACATCTCAGAAGACATGACACAAGGGATGAGAACAGTAAGCCACACCCACTTGACCACACCCCCAAAACACTCATCCTTTTTCAAACAGCTGGTGTGGCTGTTGTGTTCATTGATCTTCATACTCACATCCCTACTGGCCGTATCCATAGCAACGATTGTTTGGTTGCTATGCAATAAAACTACGATGTCACAACGTGACAGTCAGTTGAGACAAACAAAGGCAAAAGAGACTGAGAAAGATTTTGATAAAGTCTGTGTGCCATCATCGCAACCCCCGGCCAATGGGATATGTGCTGTGGCTCATATTGGCAATGGGAGTGGGTTACTAGGGGCAACAGAGAATCAGCAGACTCTAGAATTACACTCGGACGAATCGCTGCATTCCGAGGTACGTTTCCATGGCAATAACCTCTATCTTATAACAATTACGTAATCCTCTGGTGCAGCCATGGAGTAGAGTGGCGAGGAAGAGGAAGAAAAAGCCGAAAACTCTATGACCGCACTCCACCCACTTTTGAACCCCACCAGATTTGATTTTAACCCCATTCAGACCACATTTTCCCTGCGGACACTCTTCTACTAATCACAGGTGTCAAAATAATACATTATTGACTGTGTAAAGTCATCAGTATTTGATCATCAAAGATTTCTCATTTCTCTACTGAAGAGAACCTATGGAAGCGAAAGAGTTCGGAGTTTAAGAAGTCTACGAGAGGGTTAAATGGTTTCCCCGCCATGTTGGGGTTGGCACGGGGAGCCTTGGGGGAGACCCTGTCATTTTGACGATAATGACATGTGGTCTCTGAACCAGCTCTCAGGTAGTAAGCCTGCATAATATATGGTACAATGTCACATCACAGTGCCCCTAATAGTGGTGGGAAAAATTGAATTTATGCATGGAAAACATTTTTGTTCCTTGCACCTAGAGATGTAAAAAAAAGTAGTTTGCGTCTCAAACAAAATATTTTGCAGGTTTTGTGAATTTTATGATCAAGTATGTTACCTGAAAAACAACTTTGGGGACAGACTTAGCAGCAACATGTATACACACATATTTAGGATTCAAACCTTCCCTGTTTTATACCTGTGGTGTTTTTAGTTGTAGCCAGGTGAGGATAGGAGCATTTCCCAAGCACTGCGCACACCTCATAATGGAGCTGACTGCTAGTCTTTGTCCGCCATCGCTTCACCAGCTCCCACTTCCAGCACACCTCGTCTCCCTGGCAACAACAACAGACCACACCCACTGCATCAATACTACCAACTAGATATTGATTAGCAACAGGTTTCAGTAACTCGGAGGAATGAACGATAAGGCTGAATGATGCATTACACAAAGCATGACAAGCGGGCTTTGTTCGTCAACAAGGCAATTAGTGAAACTATTGCCTTTGTTTCCATAGTAGTAGAAAGACGAGTAAACAAGGAATTGTGTATATACACAGCATGGATGACATCACAGGTATGACATCACAAACGGTTAGGCCTCGTTAGCTTCCTGTGTTCCCTGTAATTAGCTCTAATTGGACACGTGGTGTACTCATTACCGGAAACACATGCATGGCGCGGGCCAATGTGTCCAGAGAGGTTAAAAGTACTGCTTCTTTCACCTCGGCTGTCAAAATAACGAGTCTCTGTCTCTCCAGTCGACATGTAACGATGTTGCCCCTGTGCAGATTGATGTCATTGGAGACGAGGTCTGTTTCCATGACGACATCCTTAGCAACCAGAGCCCCGTATCCAGGCAGGGAGCGAGCCAAGTCTAGAAACTGTCGTTCGGCAGGGAAAGATGGATCAGCAAATTCTTCCAGTTGCCTGGCCTGCTCCGGAGTGGCACAAATTACTCCCCCTCCTCCTCCTCCCACTCCTCTCTTTATCTGCTGCTGGGCCTCTAGGAACAGAAGGTTGTTGGCGACATCGTCATGGTGACACAGTCTGGTCTCACTAGTGAGGTCCATGGTCCATCTTCTGAAGCACAGCTCCTTGTGCGGAGGAACTGAACTATCCTCTTCTAAAATACTGTATCAAAAGGGCAGGAATCCTCCAGCAGGGTATACACAATCACATCACATATAATTACTAATGTTGGTTCATATGTAAAGCAAGTAAGATGCAGCAGTTCTGACCTGTTTGGAGCGTCCAGCGGACCTTCAAACAGCCCAAAGAGACTGAGACTGGCAGACTTCAGCCCCAGTTTGTCTCCCACCGCTGCCTTCAACCGCCCCGCCTTCCACGGTGGAGCAAGCCTCACTGACACCCGACCCTCTGCCGAGAACGTCTCTACTTCGTTCGCCTGGGATCCACTCATGATCTCTCGCAGCTAGCTATAGAATAGTGAAGCCCGCAAAGGGCTCCTGTTGGCTTGTTTCGTTGCATGGCTACCAGCCCCTCCCATTACGTCAAGCTCCGCCTACTACAAGGTAAGCGTCCAGCTGGCCCAAGTCCAAGATACGTGAGTATGAGTTCCCGATCGTCGTCTCCCGGGACTCCGGGCGTCTCTGAGACCAGGTTTATGGAGCCAGTGAACGGGTCAGAGCCGGGGGAGAGAAAGGAGGGAGATGGAGAATCAAAACCACTCATTACCAGCGAGGATGACAGTGAGAACGGAGGAGAGGAAGGTTAGCAGCTAACACACTGTATTTGCTGGCATCACGTGCGATTTTGTTCAACAACCAGATGTGAAGAACGATCTCCAATATTTCTCACAGAGCAGGAGTCAAGAGCACAGAAGGTGGCAAAATGGAGGAATGTGACTGCATTCTGGTTGTTTGGTCTCTGCAATAACTTCCCCTATATCATAATGTTGAGTGCTGCCTTCGACATTCTATCTGAACTGGACAGCAATACCTCTAGTGACAGTACTGACGAATACGGGGCGGTATTCGGGACGGACAATTCCAGTATTGGGTCGCCCGGAGCATGCCGAGCAGTGTTCAATTCTACAACGAACAGTTCAGAGTACAAAGCTCGCTACTGCAATACTGCCGGAACAAGTGTAAGACAGTATCTTTTCTTCTTTGTTAAAAAACTTAGGTTCCTTTCAGGTGATCCTGTTGGCTGATATTCTACCCACCTTGATCATCAAACTAACTCTACCGTACTTCGTGAACTTTGTTCCCTACTGGTAATTATGATGTAATGCTAAATCTCAGTGACTCAAAATAAGAATTTGCTTTCACGGAGTGGATCCCACGCACACAATATCACAATGAAAACTCAGAATGTAGTTTTTTAACTGTAAATTTCCTGCCTTACATCATAGTTACTTTATCAGATTACATCATCAATAATCCCACCCATTCTTTTTCAGGATAAGGATATTTGCATCGGCACTGTTTTCAGCTCTGAGTTTTGTTCTGGTAGGTGTGTCTGTCTCCGTTCCCGTGGTGATAGTGGGTGTGGCTTGTGCCAGCATCAGCTCCGGATTGGGGGAAATTACATTCCTCAGTTTCACATCTCACTACCACAAGTCTACCATCTCGGGCTGGGGCTCCGGCACTGGTGAGTCTCATTCCCATTCCACCAAAAGCATCTACTACACATCTCTGCCAAGCTTTGCTTATTGTGCTCTAATAATAACAAAGACGCAGAAAAGGGCAGCCACATCGTTTGAGGCTTTGTAAAGTGACCAATTTGGCAGACAAAGTTCTTTAGAAAGTTCTCCTGCATGTGTGTAGTTGATATGGCTTGTGTTGATCCTTGTCTTGATAAGAAGACAATACTCTAACTACAAGTATCTGTCACTACAGGTGCGGCTGGTATAGGAGGGGCTCTAGTATATGCAGGACTTCGCACGTTCCTCTCGGAAAAAGTGACAATTCTCCTCCAACTGGTCGTACCAATTTTTCTGGTCCTGGCCTATCTCTTCCTGCTCACGAAGCCATCTAAACTCCTCCCATCACAGAATTCTCACTCCTCCAGCCAAGCCGAGGACGACAAAACACGAAGAATAAAATTCAAGTTCATAAACCGCGAAGAAGCTCGGTATTTTGTTAGTCACATGAAGTATATCCCTTATTTGGTGAAGTACATGATGCCTCTGTACCTGGTCTACGTATCAGAGTACATGATTAATCAAGGTCTCTTCGAACTGCTCTACTACAAGAATACACGTCTTGGCACCATCTGCCTCGACCAAAAAGATCAGTACAGATGGTGGGCTACGCCCTAATGATGTCATCGTTACTTACTTTCGTCCGATTGGTTGATTCTGTCGCAGGTATCAGGTTGTGTACCAGCTGGGGGTGTTCATATCGCGTTCTTCGCTGTTTCTGGTGTACATCAAATGGTTTTGGATACTGCCTATACTCCAGGTAAGTGTGTAGGCAAAGCAAAGGCAAACAGCACAACTACACTCAAGACGACTCTCTTTATCAATGAGAAAAGAGCTGTCCTGGGTGGGATTCAAACCCACCACATTCTGCACTCCAGACAGCCACTCTACCAGCTGGGCAACCCAGCATGTAGGGGTTCAAATCTACAAGTCCTATGTCATTGTGTAAAGTGAAAGCTCCTGCTTTCTCTTCCCTCCAATAATCCTCAGGTCATCAACTTTGTTCTGTTGTTCCTGGAAGCCATATACCTGGTCCTCCCCTCCTTCTGGATTACCTTCTTCCTGGTGCTGTACGAGGGGTTGCTAGGGGGCGGAGTCTACGTCAACACCTTCTATTCCATCACCAAACAGGTCGGTGGCTCCAGCTGATCAGGTTCAGTGAGTCTCCCCCACACAACAATGTGTTTTCAACCACCCCAGTTTCCCATAGTGTTAGGTCCATAAAACAATGGTTCTTATAAACCACTGTTTACGGATCCATTTGAGACTTCACACAAACACCTCCCCTTGCACAACTCTTCCAACTTGTGGTGTAGTCGTGACATTTTTCTCCTCTGGCGCCTATCCCCAGGTACCTACGGCCCACAGAGAGTTCTCAATGGGAGCTGCTAGTGTTGCCGACAGCTTCGGCATCACCTCCGCAGGCATCGCGTCCATTTTCATCCACAACTTCATCTGTCACAACTTTGTTCACGGAAATTAGTGGGTCACGTGACTGTATCCATGGCAATGTAGATCATTGATTATTGTTACCATGGCAACCAAAGATTTCGTGTCATGTGACTGTATCCATGGCAATGTAGATCATTGATTATTGTTACCATAGCAACCAAACATTTCGTGAACCAGTATCATTTTATTTATCAAGTCTCTTTACAGTATGATACAAACTCTATGATGAAATTTCAGACTGTCTCTTATAGAAAATTGAGAAGTGAGCCAAATAATGTTGTACAGATAATTATGAGTATAATATTGAGTATGAGAAACAATGTAAGATTTTGTGTCCATAGCAATCAGTGCTGCTGTCCTGAAGAAGGGTGTTCACCAAACTTGCTGAGGTGAACGGAGGACTTGGCCGGAGTGAGGGAGGGATGGTGGATGTAGGAGTCGCAGAGAAAACACCAGACTGAGATGTCAGCTAGAGAGATGGCCAGAGGATGAGCACTCCCTCCACTGTGACCCAACATGTGCCCGTTGACATAACGACCACAGTACACCTGTAATATCGAATTAAAAGTGACGTATAATTAGAACAGGTGGGAGTGAAAGCTCACGTGGTGACATTGGAGGCAGACCCACGGCTCCCTCTCCTCGTTGCATTCCTCACACCTGAAAATATCTTAAATCCATTTCTTATAATTAGAGAGTAATATTGACCTGTGAGAAGCGATATCAGGTGGGAGGGGCTTAGGGGAAAGAGTGGTGAGATGCTCGCAGTCTGATTTTGGAGTCACTGCAAACATCATCGTCTCCCCTATTGCCATCTATAATACACAGGGAGTATTATGCCACAATGATGTCATCAAAATATCAATATATACCTCTCTCAGATTGCTGAGTAGACTATCTCCTATATCCTCGTTTCCTCCTGAGGCCCCGCCCACATCACCTGACCGGTCACGTGACTCCTGAGTCTGGTCATGTGACTCAGGTTCCTCAAAATCTGGACTGTTGTCGAAGTATTGCATTTCTTTTGCCCCGACACTGCCTGTGGTAGAGAGAGATCAGTCTCATTCCCATTCCACCGGGAACGGAACAGTGACCATACCAAAGATCCTTAGTGATTTCCAGTATGGAATCTGGGCAGAAACCACTGCTCTAATACAGTCCACTGCACTGTATACCAAAATTATTACATCATCATTACATCATGCATGGACTTACTCATCGTTGGGGACCATCTTGTCTGGTAGGCAGGGCAGAGGGTCTCCTAGCAACACACTAACAATGGCTGCCATTGACTCCGAGATGGACTTCAGGTTGTACCCTCCCTATTACCACAAATCACGCAACTCCACACCACATGCAGGTTGCTGTGTACCTCATGAGCAACGACCATCTTCCCTCCAGCCAATCCTCTCAGGAGATGAGTCATGTGAGCATAGCCTACCGGAGACACGTGGTACCGCCCCTGGGGACATGGGAATAGGACTAGACCATGATGTACATGATGATGTAATCACCTACCAGTGGATCGTCCTTGGCAGCATCTAGACCACATGATACCAGGACCAACTCTGGATTGAACTGTGACGAGATGTAGCAATATTATAGTGGGAACAATAATTATGGAGAAATAATGTTCAAAATCAGTATATATTGTGCACAGCAAATCCATGATTACTGTCACAATGTATCACTTCACTGGTGGCAACCTCACTCCTACATACATAAGACTTTCTCTTGTTTTTCTCATTCTCTCATTCTCTCTTATCACTCTCCCAAACCTCAGAGGCAATAGGCAGGAGGAGGTGGTGAAATGCAGCCAGATACTCCGGATCTCCCATCATCTTGCCACTCCATGCCATGTTCACGTTGTAACCCTTCGCCGAGACTCCGCCCATATGAGTCGGGCCTGCTGCCGTGGATTTTGGGTAGAACATGGCGTTGTCGTAGCGATGGAGGGAGAAATACAACACTCTAGGGATTCACTATTGTAATTTACTGTCATGTTTTGAACAAGATTCTTGCCTTTTGTCGTCGTAGAATTGCTCCTGAGTGGCGTTGCCATGGTGAACATCCCAATCAACAATGAGGATCCTATGATTAGTGCCATAATATTGTCAATTGATCACTCTTCTCTCTCACCTTGAGATGTTGTGGTTGTCAATGGCAACCTTGGCTGCTATGGCAACGCTGTTAAAGATGCAGAATCCCATGCATTTCTCAGTGACGGCATGATGGCCAGGGGGCCTTACAACCGTCACTCCAGAAGGCAACTAGATGAGAAAGGGGGTTTCGTATACACATTGGGAGAGGTTTGCTGTACATACAAAATCAAACCTCTGACTCTGTACAAAAAGGACACCTCCATAGAGGACGCTTCGTTCTGCCACATACAATTACAATACCTCCAAATGAGGGACTCCTGTTGGAATTGTCCCATATTCAAAGCTGGACCTACCTTCCCCTGCAGGACCTTCTCTGTCATCTCAATCACACTTCCAGCTGCCAGGAGAGCACAGGGAAAGATCAGCTGTGGAGGGGTTAACACAGACAGAAGCTAGAGGGTTAAATCATTTATCCCACCTTATGAAGGTAAACAGAGTTGTAGTCCCTGGCCATTTCCCTCAGTTCTTCTGTTGATTTCTCCCGAGTCGTCTCCATGGTAACATAGTGTTCCTCACTGGGTGTCATGGCAACCAACAACTTATATTATGTGAGGTACTTTTATGTGCTACACTTATTTGCAACTTGTATTGTGTGATTGCATGCAATAAGCAGATCACAAAATGAAGCGATCGTAAAGTAGTAACTGCGTTTACCTGTGGATCTTTAGTATTTCTTCCTTCGTTGCTTCTCTGGCCTACAAACATTTTATTACGATGTGACACAAGAGAGACAATTGTTAACGGAGCTACTCTCTCTTACCTCGACAAGGCAGCATCTCTCCACCAACCCTCTCTCCCTCAGTAGACTCCATATTCTACTGATCCTGTCGGGAGACTCTGGGTGACTGGGGTTCCCTTCGTTCTCATGCTCCCTCATACGAGCATCGTACAGCAGACCCGGTCTACGAGCACGAGAGAGAGAGAGAGAGAGAGAGAGAGAGAGAGAAAGAGAGGGGTAGAGCAAAGTGGGTAAGCTAGTAGAGGATAGAAAACGGGGTATCCATACTTAGAACACGGTTCGTGGGCTTTGGAGGCAAACGGTCTATCCCCGAGGCCCTGCGGTGGAACAAAATGACATCGCCAACGGGGTGTGCGACTGCAGAAAGCCTCACCGAACTCCCCTCGCTTCCCTGCAGACAATCCTCCATCGTCGCGACGCACGCATGCGCATTGTGGCAGGATAATTGCGCATGCGCAAAATCAGACGCGGAAAGAATGGACGCGGGGGATGAAGAGATGAAGCGGTCGGCTTCTCCGGGCGTGGGCGAAAGCGAGACACAAATCAATTTGGTTCCATCTGGTGGTAAACACGAGAACAATGCGAAGGAGGAAGCTGCCGAGTCGCCGCGCCGTTCTGAATTGGAGAAAACTGCATTGACGGAAAAGATGCTGGCGGAGGAGACTGTTATTACGGGATCTTCCCCGTCTCCCCCGCCCCAGACCAAGTTCCAGGAGGGGGGAAAGAAGGAGAGCGCGGGACACGACTCATCCAAGCAGTTGGCTGGCTCCAGCAAACTGGAGGACCAGATAAATCTACAACATCTCGTGGAACTGATGCAAATCTTTTACGTGAGTTGATGCCCTGAAGCTGCAGTGAACACAGCACACTGCAGTGTGTTGAGGCATAGTTTTAAACCGTTTCACCTATGTTTGAGTGCAGGAGGCAGATGAGAATGGGAGCGATGGACTGGATATTGATGAGTTCAAGGCTGCATTCGGGCAGATACTAGGGAAAGGAAAGAAAGACCAACAGGTATTTGACATTGTTCATCCTTGGTCGATGAGGTTTCACTATTGCCTGTGTGGTTCATAGATGGCAGTTATGTTCATGAAGATCGACACTAACTGTGATGGTACAGTTGATTGGGTGAGCAATTATTACCAGACCCCTAATAATATCACTATCAATTACACTTCATAATGTAATGATGCACAGGATGAGTTCTGTACGTTCATGTTGCTGGAGTATCAGGAGAAAGATTTGATGGAGGGAGAGAAACTCCCGCTCTTTCCTTACCCTCTCAAGGTATAAAATAACACAGTGTTTCATTCAACATTCATCAGACTAACAGAGCATCAATCAACATACTTTTGTTAACCCACTCTGTAAATTTTATGTACCTCTATCAGGTCCTGGTCAACTCACACCGAGAAAACCTCACCAAGATTGTGCCACTGCCCGTACCAAATCGCCCGGGGAACCAGAGTGGGTGTGGTCAACACGAGACGGCAGACGGGAGGTTTCTCACTGTATGCAAGGACGGAACAATCTGCTTCTGGAGAAGCAACTACACCATCCAGAGAATGGTGCAGGTGAGCTATTGTACGCACTAGTTACACCATTGAGGCGCACGTTTTCAGTCATCCGTGAGGTGAAGACAAATCTAAGGCAACTATTATGCAGACAACTCTTTATCAAGGAAAAAGAGCTGCCCTGGGTAGAATTCGATCCCACAGACACACTGCACTGAACTAGAAAGCAAGCGCTCTACCAACTGAGCTATCAGGGCAACCCAGCCTGTAGAGGTGCAAATCAACAAAACGAGACAATGTGCAGTTACCAGAAATTGTTTTGTGGGAGAATATTTTTACTGTCGGTGTTTGGAACCCGTTAAGGGGGGGGGAATGTTTTTCTGCATGCAAATTTTTGTCTCCCATTTTTGCCTGTTTCAACCACGTACTGCATTGCTCTCTAAATTTTCAAGGTGGAGAGCACAAGGTCAAGGTTCACGTGGGTCACTGACCTAGTAGTCATGGCGAACATCAACAAGCTAATGGTGTCGTTCACCGACAACACTCTTGCGGTGTACGATATCATGACCTTTGACCTCCAGCAGCAGGTGGTTGGACTCCGGAACTGCATTCTGACTCTCTACTACTGGTGAGGGGATGGAAATAAGACCACACCCACTGTATGCAATGTCTGGTCAGAACTAATGTAGAAAACTAAATTACCCCCTTTGGTGCGAACTCCCTTGCAACATACTGAGTGGACTAGAGGCTAAGCTCTGTGCAAGTGGTGCGTAAGACCCAAGTTCGAAACCAGCACCTGGGCATTTTTCTTCATAATAATTAGAGAGTCGGTAGACTCTATATATATAGGGATGACACGGGTGAAATCTCACTTGATCCGCGTACAAAACGACTAAAACTCGGTGAGAATCACTTCCTAG